CACACACACACACACACACACACACACACACACACACACACACACACACACACACGGCCACCGTTGATCCCCGCAAAGCAACGCTCTGATAACATAGTTTGGCGCCCCGCGCCCCGCACGACTGGCAAAAAAAAAAGACCTGCAGGCCCACCACACTCTTGCACTCACGCACCGCACCGCACTCCCGCACTCGTCTGCCGCAGGCCCACCGCACTCTGGCACTCTCTCGCACTCACGCACCGCACCGCTCCACACTGCACTCAGGCCCGCATCCGCCCACCACCAAACGCCGCCACGCAGGCCCACAGCGCCCCAGTCCTGCCCGCAGTCCCGCCACGAAATGTCCCGGCCGATTTGCCTTTCCCCAGTCCCGCCCGCCTCCACACCGAATTTCGGTGGGCCCAGCGGGAAGCGTCACGCTGGGCCCTTTGCATTCTTTAAGAGTATAGGGATAGTATTACTGGGAACAGTAAGCCAGCCCGCGTTCAAGAAGCCAACAAGGGAACATGGGGGGGCTGCACCAGACCTGCAGGTGGGCCATACCCGTAGCGTCAGGACTGAACCTCTTCGCGTCAGGACTGAACCTCTTTGCGTCAGGACCGAGCCTCTTCGATGGGCCAATCTCTGTGCCCCGCTCTGTGCCTCCCCTCCTGTCCCCAACCCCGACGAACATGAGCAGTCTCCGCTCAATGCCGCTCGTATGGGGGTTGTTCCACACCACTCGAAACTCAAGGGTTTCTTGTCCAACACCGTTCTACGGTGCCCTTGAGTTTCGCTAATTAGATTTTCGGGCTTAGCAAATGCGCGGTGCCCTTGAGTTTCGCTAATTAGATTTTCGGGCTTAGCAAATGGGCGGGAAAAGCTCAAGGATGGCTCAAGTGTGGCTCAGGCAAACCTACCGGTTTTTTAAGTCAGTTTCGCTAATTAGATTTTCAGGTTTAGCAAATGGGCGGGAAAAGCTCAAGGACGGCTCAAGTGTGGCCCAGGCAAACCTACCTGTTTTTCAAGTCAACTCTCTAGGCACACTTGAGCTGCACTCGAAATCGGCACTGCAGGTACGTGTAGAACCCCCCGATAGATTTCCCCCCCACCATTGGCCTGGGTAAACCTCTCGCAAGCTGTTCCCGCTCATTTCAAGGGCGGACTAAAGGGTTGAGTGGAACGAAATCTGATCACTTTTGCAACTCGAGTGCGCACTCGAATTTCAAGTGAAGTGGGGTGGAACAAGGCCCTATCTCTAGGTGGCGGCCTCCAGGCTTGCCTAAGAAGGTACGTGAGGCCAATCGGGATTGAACCCAAGACCCCCTGAGTGCCACTTGCATGCCTTACCGACTGGGCCAGGCCGCTGATACGGGTAGGTTCTTTCTTTTTTCTTCTTTGTTTTCTGGTTCCGCCCAGCCCTGAGTAAGTTAGGGGAAGGAAGGTAGGATGTGTCCATGGGCGCCAGCTTGCCTTGCCTAGGTGCTTGTCCCAGCTTATCCCCTAGACTCGCTGACTACTGGGCCTGTAGAAGATTGCATGAGCCTGACGTCTGGCAAGGTTCGTCTGCTTCCCCTTCCACTAGGGCAAGGTACTGCCCACCCCTGGTGCTTGTCACTGCTATTTGGTCCAAGTTGCCCAGTGATACTGGTAGGGTGATGGTCTTGAGTGCTGGCCACACTGAGATAGGATAGTACGGATAGGGGGTGCGCTAGGATTATTGACGTGAGGATGGGTTGAGAGGTGGCCCCAGGACAACCATTGGCTGCCCACTGCCAGCAATCACCCTGTGTCTGGTTCTTGGCCTCTACAGAACCCTGGGCTTAAAAAAAAAAAAAAAAAAAGGGGCAACAGCTCGTGGGTCACAACCAACGTTTGTAATAGGCAAAAAAAAGCAGTCGTCCGCAGGTCCATCCCGAACTTAGTTCAAAATGGCAATAATAAGGGCCTCCCTGCACTACTCTCCAAATGCGCGAAATGAGAATGAATATTCCACTAGAACATGGACAGATGCACCACTGTACTTCTTGTCTGTTGTGCATGTGGAGAGTAGCGCAGAGATGCCCTAACAGTGCCTCCCGTGGAATCCGCCCTGCCTGGCTGGCAGGGCGCTACAGGACCTCACAACAAAAAGCAAACAAAAAAATGACATGTCTCATGGTCCTCACATACTGGTTTTTCCTGCCTATTTCAAACTTAAAGTGTGACTCCGGAGCAGTTTCCTCATATATATATATATATATATTCTCTCTCTCTCTCTCTCTCTCTCTCTCTCTCTCTCTCTCTCTCTCTCTCTCTCTCTCTCTCTGTCTGTCTGTGTGGTGTCCATTTGGCTGCATGCGATCATGTTCGTCGCCATTCTTGAGATTATGTTGATGTGTGTGCGCGTGCATGGCTGTCTTTTGTTGCGGTGGCATGGAACAACAGAGGGCGTGCTATTTCAAAGGTAACAGGCTTGGGAGGAGAACGTACGGTCAGGCTCGTTTCGCTTGGGGAGGTCCCTTGTACCTTTTTTCTGTCACTGACTATCGCCAGACATTGGGAATCACGCTGGAGGAAGGTCAGCGCTTCAGCCGGCTCATCGTCCAGGTGTCCCCATGGGAAGATCCAAAGGCAGTTGCCGACAAGTTGCGAGAAGCCGCTGAAACAGCTAGGAAATCATGCCACACTTCAGAATTGTGAACGTCTTAGAGCACTGCAGACATATTTGATTTGAATGAGTGCTGCTAAAAGACACATTCATCCTAATAGTATTGTGTACGGGATGCTGGGCCTGATTCCCATCGCGTGCAGCTCCCGACGAATAAGACTGGAACCGTCATCCATGGTCACCTACACAGGACCTGAACTCTAATCGCTGTCCAGGGTAGGTAAGCCCCTGTTGGGGTTTCTTAAACCACCACTCCGTTTCAGAGGCGAAGTCTAAGTCATGAATATAACCTGTACGTCATTCTTCAGAAGCTGGGCACCACCAGACTGAGAAAAGGTCATGCTGGCGCTTCCGCCTCAGCAAAAGGAGGGTGGGAAGTACTGGTGGTTAAAAAGACAAAAAAACATCTCTCCATGCTTGAGCTGGAAGTAATGCAACATCGATCCCCAGCAAATTGGATGTTGCCATATGGTATACACATGACTCAAATGGCTGGTGGCGCCAGGCAAAACAAAAGAAAAAAGGTCGTGCAGGCGCTTCCGCCTCGGCAGAACTTGAAGGAGTCTCGGAAGTAGTGTTGGTTAATGACAAAAAAGAACATGCAATCCCCCGCAAATTGGATGTTGCTATTGTTACTCCCCAGGAATAGATTGGAGCATTAAAAAAAAGAAGGGGTAACTTTGGCGCAGTCACAAAAACAGTTTGTAATTGCACTTCAGGCAATCCTAGGAATACAACACACCTCCACGTGACCCCACCGGACCCTAAACGTAGGTCATATACATTCAGCATTACCGGCCCTTTTGCCTCAAGTGCAATTACAAACTCAAACCCTGACTGCGCCGTAGTTTTCTCAAAAATAAATAAATAAAAAATGTTACTGCCAGTAAAGAGAACATGACTTGGAATCAAGATGGAATTAAAATGAACACAATGTGAGGGCTCCCCCACTCATAAGAAAAAAGGAAAAGAAATAACAGGGCACTGCAGCTCCGGGCCGAGGGCAGTTAGAAAATGCAAAAACAGAACAGAACAGCTTTGTGCACTTCCACGGGGTTGGAAATTAGATCCCCTCTAGATAGTCTTAGGAGTAGGTAGTGGAAGGTAAAGAAACAGAAGTTGAGAGAAGAGTATAGAAAAAAAAGAAAAAATAAAGGAAGTGGCAAAATCAGGCGGCCACTCATTGTTTTTTTTCTTTTTTTCTTTCATGCTTCGTTTTTTGGGAGGGGGGGCAGCACTCAAAAAAATGAGTTATAATTGCACTGTGGGCCAAGCTACACTTCCGAATTGCAGTTCGGGCAATGTCCAACCCAGCTTTCCGGCCAGGTATGCCCGAAGTGCAATTGCAAACTGTATCTTGCCCCATACTGCAATTATAACTCTTTTTTGTGACTCTCCTGAAGTTACCCCTTTTTTTTTTCCCCACGTGCATGTCAGGTGGCCACTTGTTGTTGCTTATCTTTTCTGCCCCTCTCCCCTGGGGCCCCCCGCCCGTGGCAGGGCCACAGCCGAGATGTCTAGGCCGACTGGGCCACGGCCGAGATGTCTAGGCAACACCCTTGACTGGGCAACGGCCAAGATGTCAAGGCCTCGCCCGTGGCTGGGCCACAGCAAAAAGGGGTCTGAGAGTCATTCTCCATCCCCGCCCCTCCGCGAGTGGTTTTCCTTCCCCCCCCCCCCCCCCCCCCCCC